AAAAAAAAAAAAAAAAAAAAAAAGAATCAGACACGTTCCTCTCTCGAGATACTTACAGTCTCACAGTGGATAAAGTCCAGCAGAGGGGGATAAGTACTCGGATAAAAAGATAAAAGAATTCCACTAGCCCACTTAGCCCTGCACAGCGTTTTCAACCAGTATTAATGCCCAGATGCCACCCGGACCAATTCGATCAGAATGTCTGGAGGTGGGGCTCAGGCATCAATATTTTTAGAGCCCCCGGGTGACTCCAATGTGCACCAAGGTTGAGAACAGCTGAAATACAGGCACAAGGAAGGTGTGAAGATGAGGCGGCGTCTGCCCTCGGCCCTGGAGCCTGAGCTACAGGTCGACGTGCGGAGGTGGGGGAAGGATGGCGTGCTGAGGAATCTCAGACAGAGGAAAGGGCGTGAAAAACATGCAGAAAAGGATGAGGTGGGGATGGGGGTGGGGAGGGTTTCAGGGTAGACTGTTCAGGTCAACTGAGATACAGATAAAGGCAAGGTGGTTAGAGAAGACCACCGTCAGTCACGCTGAGCTTCCTCTCAATCTGCTGGGCGGCGGCTTATAAAGTAGGCGCTTTCTAGGTGGAAGGTTTCTGGGCTGGGGGTGGAGTATGGGGCAAAGAGCCCCCCCCCCTAGCGGAAGAAGCAGTCGAGAGCTCCCCTGGGGAACTTCGAGGTGGAGAAGGCCCCACCTATGACCCGGAGCCAGACCTCATTTGGGCGCCCAGGACGGAAAAGATACAGTTGGTCAAGAAAGGGTAGTGACAGCAGGGGTCCAAAAGAAGAGAGCTCTGTTCCCTCAATCCCTCCACCCTGAACTCGCACACCTGAGGGAAGAGGAGAAGAAATAAGGAGCAAATCCTAATCCTTCCAGACCTCAAGGGCCTCAGCCCATGGTCACGTCAGAGTTTGATTTCAGAAAGAACTGGGGTGCAGGTTACAATGGATGCAGGACTGAAGTTTTTCAGTTGGACTGAGCCGGACTTTTGAATCACCGCCAGGTTTGGGATCTGCCTATGACATCATGAAGCGTAAGGATAAAAGCTATTGATCAAATATCTAACAAGTGCCTCAAACCGACCAAGGCACTGGGAATACAGTGGTGAATGAGACACAGGCCTCTCCTTAGGGAGCTGAAATTCTAGCAGGGGAGAAAAACAGAACCAAACAAAAATACAGATAAACCAATAAATGTAACACAGAAAACTCAGCCAGTGAAGACTGCAAGGGAGAAAATGAGGGAATGGAGGGTGACCAGGGTGATGCTGCTTCTGACAGTCAGTGACGTTCTCTAAAAAGTCTGCATGCAGGTGGGGAAGGCATCTATTCTGGGTGGGGGGTGACTCCCCAGGCTGGGTCAGCTGCTCTGAGCCACTCTGGTCTCACAGCCCCTGGGCTCCCTAGCGCTCATCACAGTGAATGGAAGGGTCTGCGTCTGGCCACCCCCAGCCCCCAGACTTGCAGCTTCCTACGGGAGAGCAGGGGGCATGATTCTTCTCTGTGATCCCAGGGCTGGACACACAGGGAGCATTACTGAACTTCCTGGAGATAAACTGAACCACAGGGAGGTCAACTGAAGAGGAAACAAATCAGTAAAACGCAGGGCAGTCCCATGGGTCTAGTTGCCATCAGGGAAAACCTGCCACGGGGGAGAGCCTCTGAGCAAGGGAGACAACTACTGGTATTTCTTCACCCAGGATAGAGAACTCGGACTGGAGGAGACACAGTTCGACAGAATTCTGGGGATGGAGGGGCCCCTCAACTTTCTGCTCAGCCCCGTGGCACCTTGTCCAGGCATCCCTGAAGATGCTTCCCTGATTCCCCCAGTGCAGTGATGTCTCCAGACGTGGAGAGCAGCTCAGGGATGACAGACCCTGCTGGCCCAGTGCAGGGAGCTGGCTTGTTGGCCCAGGGCTCTTCCCAAGTGAGAGTTTATGGTCTCTCAAACTGAACTTGAGCCCTTTTTGTGAAATACGTTTCTCTTCTTAGGCT